GATGAACTTTTCGCCCTCCGACGTGTCCCACCTGCGAAGCATTCAGAGACAACAGCTCAACGTTCCTTGGCGAATCCTGACATGTTGAATCGACACCACTGAATTCGAGGGCCGTCCGTCAGCTGGCGAAAGGCTTCGAAAACTATGAAACCGGAAAACAACACCTTTCGCTCTCTTCTCTAGGAAACATCCGTTCGGGACTGAACAAACTGACTGACAGACCTCACAATGGCTATGGAGAATGGAGGAACCTCCTCTTGTCCCGTTGTACTGTTTTTGTCCAATCATCGTGGTTTCGCGCAACGGTTGAAGACGCAGTGGTCGGCTTCGAAAACTACGTTGTGTACAGAAGAGCAGATTGATACTCAAAGTCCAGGCTTCGTGGGTAGAGGGGGGGGGTGCAGCCACTTGGATTAACCAACGGTAGGGTATCCGATATTCGACCCTGCTGCAATATTCAACCGAGGACATGCAATCTTGCTCTGTGCCTTTCCGTTCTTGATGAGGTAATCGAACATGATTCTGACAAAGGTTCACTCGCTTCCGGATGCATTCCCTCACAGTTGCATTCTTTCGCGGATGCTTTCACGACTTGTATATCGATACATCTGGGAAGGTCGTTGTTCGTAGTCGCCGGTGATTTCAATAGACACCACAATGCTTTCGCTACATCACTCGGATTATCCAACACCGTCTCTTTTCCTGCCTGCTTGTCAGCCCATCTTGACTGCGTTCGGGATCAGAGAGCCCACACCGATTGCTGACTTCGAACATGGCGTCATTCCTCTTTCTCTAAGTATACACATTTCATGGACCAGTTTAAAGCTAGAGTAACGGATGCGCTTATTCTGGTACCAAAATCATTGCACCAACTAATAAGCTTAACTTGTCGTGCAGAATAACAATTGAATTACATCTGTTAGGTAAGTGCAAGATTACCAGTACTGTTTCTACTACACAGTTTCTACAAAATACCAGTACTGTCTTGTTTAAGAAGTTTTGGAAATGATAACAGCCTCCGTTTAGCAATACAGCGGAACCAACAATAGTTATAAAAAACGTTAGCTTAAAAAAAGCATAGCTTCGTTCCAAAATAGCAACTGATCTGCAATTACTGTTCAGATAAATGACTCATACAGTAGCACTGACCAAAATGAGAAAGCATTTTTCAACGATAATAACTTTTTCAATTTTATGCAACTTATACACTTCCCAATTATTGATCAGTTAATTGGCGATCAATTAACAGTGTAGGCATTGCCGACAACTCAAATACATACGTGACAGCCTCCTCGCCCTGATCTCTAAAGCATCAAGAGGAACCGAATTCGTACAGGCGTAGTATATCAGATACTCACCACGTTCTTTAACAAAAATCAGTACTCAATCAGCTACGCACAACGCAAAATGACGGTCTATCGTGTGGCAGACCAACGCTGTCGTTCGGCTCGAGTTTCATAGGCCCTATTCAAGGTAAGGTAGTTAACAGGTTTTGGGTGGTGAAGCATTTGTTTGTAGTAATTCAATCGGGTGGCGCCAGAAGGCAAACTCTCGACCCGTGCTGCTGCTTTAACAGTTATCTGCGACAGGCATGACGAGACTCATGTTATCCATGAACAGTTCGTACCTATTGTAACAGCTTGTAACCCCTGCCATATCGGCCTGCCCTAATACTTAAACGATTTGAAGCCATTAGTAATGACCTTCATTTCGTAAAGTTTATCGTGCAGCAATAATATCCGTTTTTGCAACATCGGCCAAGAGTGTAGAACTTTTAGAACAGCAGAATCTACAATTACGTGGCAAGTATAATACATTCTTTGGATTCCTTCCCACAGAATTATATTCATTTATCAACACGGAAAGGATCCAAAGATTAAGTAATTTGTAAGTGCACAAGCGTTCATACTGAAAACCTACAAAATGCATAAAAAGGGTCTATGTATACATAACGCAACAGGTGATTGACCAGTGCCGACGTTTCGGTTTTCTCTCACGAGCCTTCTCCAGAGTAGTCCGGCTCGGTTTATTTGGGTGGTCCGAAGCTAATGTGGCATATAAAATAAGCTTATTATCACTTTTATGTACTACGTCAATATCATGTCTAATGTTTGGTAACTTGTACAATTTTTCGCTAGTTTTTATGATAAAGGAGAATTAACTAAGATTTGTTATGCAAAGCGTTAATTTTGATAATACTCATGTTGCAAGCTAAATTCAATTACGTTTTCATACACTTTATATTACTAACTGGTTTGTAATAACTGGTTATTTTTATTAGACCAGATTAATGCAATGGTTCATTTCTCTGCAAGAAATTCATTACTGCGGAATTACAGAGCTCTCTATTAAACTTGCAACTACAATCCTTTTACTTTGCTTTAATTGCAGATTCGTAGTCCTTTTACCTTTTATACGATTATTGAGTTGAAATTCAGATATTTATTGGTGTTATTAGGTTTACAATAAATTTAATATTACAGCAACAGCCAGAGCTAGCTATCAATACATAAAGAAAAGGTAGACTATAAGGATTTTCTCTTTCAATATTTAACTCGTTTCGAGAGAAGAGGCCATTGAGAAAGGTAAATACTTCATTTATCACCATTGTGGCAGAAAAAAAATTCGTAAATATATCTTGTGAAAACCCTTGAAAAAAGTGTCTGGATTCGTGTCCTATGTCTGGATCTGTGTATAAATAAACCGTGTTTTATGCTGTTTTCAGCGCAACCGTCGACGCATAAATGAAATATTCTATATTTCTTTAACTTACAATGAGCTCCACGTAAATACACCGTAGAGTGCAAGGCTGCTACACATTATAACAAATAAATATTTGTCTTAATTTATGAGTATACGCTATAAAAGGAAACGTTTCGATTTTAATAAAAAAGCATACATGAATGTGCTGGTTCATGAAACACTATTGATGAAGTAAAGGAATTACTCTGGTTAATAAAATATCATAGAGATGCATGCGGCAGTGGAGCAGGTAGAGAAGTTCAGCTGCCTCGGAACTGTATTTACTAGTGATGGGAAATTAGAGGAAGAGATCTACCGGCGAATAGGAGTAGTCAGTGGCATTCTGTGTGAACTAGCCAAATCCATTGTGACTAAAGCAGAGCTCAGACTGAAAAGAAAGCTCTCGATATTTAAGTCGATCTTTATCCCCATACTTACTTATGGTCATTAATCGTGGACCATCATTGAAAAACTTCGAACTCAGGTAGCAAAATATAAATCAGCATCATTCCATTCAGGCAATAATAAATTCAACGAAACTACATAAGCTCCTGGTTGCCTTTATCCATAACTTGAATCATGCCAAAATTTATATTTATCTGGTAACTTCTGATTTAAAAGTTACAATCACAATTTCAACTTCTTCAATAGCCTTGATTTGTAGTCTTATTGCAAAGGGAGGAAACAGTTCTAGACATTCTGCTTGTTAAGATCGACCATCTACAGTTTTGCTGAACGTCTTATTACGTAATTCGTAGAGTAAGGACTCCAGACTCTGTCTACACATCGTAATGTAATTGCGGGAAAAAATGAGGTAGGATAAACAACTAACACTACCCCTTAAAGAACAAACGCCCATGTCACAAGCAGATACATA